GAGTGGATTGCCTGAGCCTGTGGGTTCGAGACCCGCCAGGGCAACTTGGCAAGACCTCATCTCTACAATGAATCAAAAAATTAGCCAGGCATGGTGGTGCATGACTATAGTTCCAGCTACTTGGAAGGCTGAGGTGGAAGGATAGCCAGAACCCAGCAGGTTGAGGCTGCGGTGGCCGGGAGTATTCCACTGCACTCCACTCTGGGCAATGGATAGAGACTTCAACTCAAAATATATAAATAAGCCAGGATCAGTGGCTCAGCCTGTAATCCCGCACTTTGGGAGGCTGAGGTGAGTGGATTGCCTGAGCCCATGGGTTCCAGACCCGCCTGGGCAACTTGGCGAGACCTCATCTCTACAATTAAAAAAAAAAAAAAAAAGTGGGTGTGGTGCCTGTAATTTCCGGCTACTGGGAAGGCTGAGGCGGAAGTATTGCTGGAGCCCAGCTGGTCGAAGCTGCAGTGGTCGGGAGAGGCCACCGCACTCCAGTCTGGGAGACAGTGTGAGACTCCAACTCAAAAAATAAATAAATAAATAAAGTTAAATAAATAAATAAATAAATATTTTACAGTTTGGATTCTTTTGGTCTATATAACTGAAAACAATGCTTATATAATGGATATTTTTCCCTTTATAAAACACTTCTATAATTACTATATCATTTGGAGCACTTAAAACAACTACAAGAATTATTTTTCTCATTTTACAAATAAGAAAAGCAAGGCTTGGAAAAATAAAATGATTACTCTTAAATTAACAAGTAAGTTAGTAGAAAAGCCAGGATTAGAGCCTTGGGTTCTAATAAAATTTTTAATTAGGGCTTTGGACTCTAATTTGCATACTTCCAAAACCTGCCTTCCTATGTCTCTAGGAACCTAGATGATATGGGAGGCAGTATTCCAAAAAACCAGTACCAAACTGCTGAAAACAAACAAAAAAAAAGAGGTATTACAGATAAGAGAGTTATTGCTATTGAAATAAATAGATTTAATAAAACAGAAAAACTCATTAAAAGTCACCCAACAGAAAAAGGGAAAATAGAGCATTATGATGTACTCTACCAAGTTTCCATCTTCCCCTCATTCCACTAATAAAAATGAATATTGATTAGCATAGGCATTTTCACATTTAAGTCTCCAATAGGTCTGAGGTAGGATCAAGGACCAGCATTTACAAGAATTTCTCAGTGACACTGCTGCTGCTGATCTAAAGATAATATAAAAAGATTATTTTTAAACTGTTAAAATACACAACAAAAATAAAATATGCAGGTACAAATCTAACAAAATATGTAAAAGATCTATATGAGAAAACTATAAAACTGATTTTTGAAGATAAATAAGTTAAGAGAATTCATTAGAAACAGTCAATATTTTTATGTTCATGATTAGCAAGAGTCAATATTTTCAAGATATCAGTTCTTCCCAATTTGATTTATAGACTGAAAGCAATACCAATCAAAATCTTAGCAAGTTATTTTGTGGATATTGGCAAACTGATTCTAAAGTTTATGTCTGATTTCAAGACTTACTACAAAGTTACAGGGATCAAGACAGTGAGATATTGGCCAAAAAAAAAAATTGACAAATGTATCAATGAAACAAAAATAGAGAGCCCAGATATAGACTCACACAATTACAGTCACCTGATGTTTAATAAGTGAGAAAAGGTAATTTAGTGGACAAAAAAATAGTCTCCTTATATCTTTCACAAAAATTAACACAAAATGTATCACAGACCTAAATGTAAAAAAATATATAAAACTCTAAGAAGATACATAGGAGAAAATCTAGGTGACCTTGAGTTTGGCAATGAGTTTTTAGAGCTAACACCAAAACATGATCCATTTTTTTAAATTGATAAGTTTCATTTCATTAAAATTTTAAAATTTATGTTCTGAAAAAGATACAATTAAGAAAATTTAAAGACAAATCACAGACTGGGAGAAAAAACTTTACAAAACATACGAGGAGGCACATAAATAAAACCCAGACTTTATTTAAAATTTTTGTATTTATTCTTACATGCTTAAACCTCAGATACCTTCAAAGTACTCTCTGTTTAATACACCTATGGAGATGCATTTTCCACAGCTTAAAGCAGTTTTTGAGCTGGGCTCGGTGGCTGGGCCTGTAATCCTGCGCCTTGGGAGGCTGAGGTGAGTGGACTGCCTGAGCCCGCAGGTTCGAGACCCGCCTGGATAACTTGGTGAGTCCTCATCTCTACAATAAATCAAAAAATTAGCTGGGTGTGGTAGCACGCGCCTGTAGTTCCAGCTACTTGGAAGGCTGAGGCGGAAGGATCGCCGGAAGCGGCCACTGCACTCCAGTCTGGGCGACAGAGTGAGACTACAACTCAAAAAAAAAAAGTTTTTGAACTCAATTTTAATGCCTTTTAGTGCTTCCGGTTTTTTTTCATCGCCTCTTCTATATTGGTAAAACATTTCCCTTTGAGCACTTTTTTCATCAGGGGGAAAACAAAAAAAAAAAAATCGCTTGGGGAGAGACCAGTTAAATAGTGAGGATGGGGCATGGGGATCATGCTGTTTTGGGTCAAAAACTGCTGAACACTCAGTGTGGTGTGGCCAAGTTGTTCATGTAAATTACCCATCATGAAATGGGCAAAAGCACTGAAAGAATCTCAAAAAAAAATCCACTGATGCTGAATACAGCGTTTCTCAACAACACCAGCTGGTACACCAATGCAAATGGGTTTCCAAAGCACTTACATAGTGGGGGGAAGCATGTACTACAAGGGACCCGCCCTCCAAAAAATAATTCCTTTAGAATTATCATACATCTGATAAAGGTCTGGCATACAAAATATACAAAAAAACACTTAAAACTTAATAAAACAAGCAAACAATTTAAAAACAGGCAAAAGATTTGAACAGATACTTCACCAGGGAAGATATATAGATAGCAATGAAGCATGTGCAAAGGAATTCTACATCATATGCATTTAGGGAACTGCAAAGCATAATGGCAATGAGATACCACTACACACGCCTGAAAATGACTAAAATCCAAAACACTGACAACACCAAACACTGATGAAGATATGGAGCAATAGGAGTTCCCATTCATTGGAGGTGGTAATGAGATAGGAAATAGAGAAAGGCTGGGCAGACATACAAGTGGGTCCTCTGGTAACAATGTAGTGAACATCCTGCAGGTCTCTCAGGCTCAACATTGGTAAACAAGCTCCCTGTGAACCTCTCAAGGTAGAGCTTAAGTACACACTGCTGAGATGGAAGAGCAACCAATTACCTTACCATTTTGGCCCCCTGCTGATTGGTCCTTAATATTGACCAATCACAACAGCAACAGCTCACAGCTAGAGCTAGCCAATCGGCATGGACTTAGGGCTATATAAACTCCAGATTTCTGGCCCCAGACGGGCACCCCCTTCGGGTCCCCTTCCACTGTGACAGCTTTTCTGTCCTCTCAGTAAATCTTGTTTTCTCACTTTCTGGCTGTCCAGTGTCCCTCATTCTTCCTGGGCATGAGACAAGAACCTCGACCCTGAAGAGCTGAGACCTGAAGAGCTGCAGAAGATGGTCGGAGGCAAAGAGCCACGCACCCCAAAGGGTGGCTTGCCAGCCAACGGAGCTAACTGAACTGGGACAGCTGCTGAGAGAAGGCAAAACTCGAAGGTGAGACACTCCAAGGCTAGGCCTGCCAGCTCACTGAACCAGCAACACTTTCAGGGCTTGGCTTGCTAGTCCATTATAGCCAACACCTCTGGGGCTAGGCTTACTACCCCTCGAGATGGCCCTCTCTAGGGCTTGGCTGGACAACCCACTAAGCTGACACTTTCGAAGCCCAGGTTGGCTAGAAAAATCCACATAAGAAATGGAAAACAGAACAGTCATTTTGAAAGACAGTTTAGCAGTTTCTCACAAAACTAAATATACTCATACAATATGATCCATCAAACATGGTCCTTATTATTGAGCCAAATGAGTTGAAAACTTGTATCTACACAAAAAGCTACAAACAAATGTTTATAACAGTTTTGTTTATAATTGCCAAAATGGGGACGCAACCAAGATGTCCTTCAGTAGGAGGATGGATAAACTGTGATATACATTACAATAGAGGATTATTCAATATTGGTTCATCAGTTATAACAAATGTACCACATTTACAAGATACAAATAATAGGCAAAACTGAATGGGGGGGAGGTAGTATATGAGATCTTTTTTTACTTTCCACTCAACTTCTCTATGAAAGTAAAACTGCTCTAAAAACTAAAATCTATTCGTTTTGTAAAAAATTAAACTCTACATGTAAGGAAGAGTTTTCACATAGATTTTTTTAAAAATCATTTGTCAAATATAAATTACTATTTCTGGTAGCAGAGAATCCAAGTAACAAATTGATACTTTGGTTAACAATCCTAAAGGTAGCCAGGATCGGTGGCTCAGCCTGTAATCCCGAGCTTTGGTAGGCTGAGTTGAGTAGATTACCTGAGCCTGTGGGTTCGAGACCCGCCTGGGCAACTTGGTGAGACCTCATCCCTACAATAAATCAAAAAATTAGCCAGGCGTGGTAGCGTGAGCCTGTAGTTCCAGCTACTTGGAAGGCCGAGGCGGAAGGATAGCCGGAGCCCAGCAGGTCGAGGCTGCAGTGGCCGGGAGTGGCCACTGCACTCCAGTCTGGGCGACAGAGTGAGACTCCAACTCAAAAAAAAAAGAATCCTACAGGCATGATTTCTGTCAACATGTTCAACAGCACAGTTTAATGTCCTCTGAAATTCTTTGTCACTAAAATGAATAAGGATAGGACTTCCACATTAATTTTCTGCTACTAAATGCCAAACTCCCAAGGTAAAAGCTTGAGATGGAATAGCAAGATCTATTACCTATTTTTTTTCAGTACTAGGAAGCCAAGAGACAAAAACTGAAACAGCATAGGATCAATCCAAGCATCAAGAATAGGAAAAATTCCCAATATCAGCCACGATCTCAGCTTCAGGGACAGTTTTAGTGACTTACCATCATCATCCTCTCATTTTCTACTTCATTAAGCAATTCAGCAAATTCCTTGAAGGATTCAGCTGGAAGGAGGGAATGAAAAGTAAAATCCATTAATCATGGTGCTTGATATACAAATGGACAGAGCTGTGTGTAACAGAATGTAGGTAACAGTGTTCTAAGCCTATATGACCACTAGAAGAAGGCATCAAATCTAAGGTCAGCAGGACAATGTGTTCGGTACCTGTTGAATTTTTCTTTTCCTTCCTTTCTTCCAATCCCTGTACTCTAATATTTTATTTAATCCTTACAACAACTCTTAGGAATAGTAGGAATTTCTCTTATTTCATAGAGAAGCAAAAAGATTAGTGAAGGGGAAATACGTTTGCTTTGTAAAATATAGCACCTATAGAATCCTAAGACTTGAGTCCCTGCTTCACTACTTGCCAGCCAGAGAATGTTGCTGCAAAGTCTAAATAAGATGGTAAATGTAGAATGCCATAGTAAATAGTAAACATTATACCGCCTCCCCCTTCCAAACTTTCTGTCTTTCTAGTGCCAATTTTACCACTCACTGGCAGGGTGACTGGGCAAATCACTTCATCTCTTTGGACTTTAATTTCTTTATACACAAAATAAAAGATAAATTAAGCTAAATTGTCTTTAATGACATTTCAAATTCCCCAACTACTCACTAGAAGCAGGAATATATTCCCAATTGGTATCTGAACTAAAAAGAACATAGTGAAAGCCTGAAAAAACAATGTATCCATATTAATATTTTCTCCAAAAATAGATTTCCCACCAGGCTCCGTGGCTCAGCCAATAATCCCAGCACTTTGGGAGTCTGAAGTGAATGGACTGCCTGAGCCCGCGAGGTTCAAGACCCGCCTGGACAACTTGGCCAGACCTGATCTCTACAATAAATCAAAAATTAGCCAGGCGTGGTACCGCATGCCTGTAGTTCCGGCTACTTGGAAGGCTGAGGCGGAAGGATTGCTGGAGCCCAAGCAGGTCGAGGTTGCAGTGGCTGGGAGCGGCCACTG